GTACAGTCACGGATGGGTTTGGGGAGAGAGATGAAAATGTCTTATCCTGCTAAGAATGGGAGCTGGGAAACACTAAATAGATATAGATTCCTTCATGAACTCTAAAGAGGTTTAATCGCAGAACAAAATATTGACTGTTCTGGTCTTCAACCTAAGGAAATCAATATTTGCCTTCAGTGGCGCACATCGATCAAACATGAAAAACCTGGTTGAGGCTGTTTAGTATCTGCCCTGGTCTGTCATGGTAGTGTGTGTTTGTGTGTGTGTGTGTGTGTGTGTTTAAACCAGGACATGAAACAAGGTACGACTGCTTAGAAGAAAGACGTGTCATGAAATACAAATTATGTCTTTCTTAGTGCTCCATCTGAGCCGAGCTGCAGAGTTCCATTCATTTGACATAAGCGAGGTAATGATAAGTAGTCCGCAGATATTACATGAATTTCCCTGATTGTCTTCTATGAGGTCTCATGCATACAGGACACACTTAGATGGGTACTATTTCTGTACTTGCCTTAAGCACAAGAAGAGAATGAAGGCCACGACTAGAGCTCCCACGGAGATACAGTGGCCTAGGTAGTTGATGATCAGCGCTATTTTATAATGCATTGGATATTTCCTCTGTGAAGAAAAGACGTGGATTACTTCTTTAATGTGACTGATGGGTAATAGAACAAAGAGAAGAGGTTGTAAATGCATAAATACATGACTAGAACCAGAGATTTTTTTATCTATCTGGGCTTCATTGTTTTGAAGTTTAAGTCAAGCGAGAGAAGGCAAACGTCATTGACACGCTTCAGATTTCACAGCTTAAAATTAACTGAGAAAATAGAGCAAGACCCAGAAATACACATAATCAGGAGACATGATGTGAGGTAATCAGGCCAAAAACTCATTACATACAATACATCAGCACTTACAGTTTGGCCTTGGGCTTTGCTTATAGGGACAAGACTGTACCAATGTACTTGGTCGTCCAGAAACAAACACTCTGCACTCGCAGAGAATAGAAAATGCAGTTCAATAAGCGTTATGCAATCAAAACACCAAATTTCCTGTGCTACATCTGATTGTTTTTCCCTGTGGGCCATTAGCGTAATGATGAGTAACGAGCATTGAGCTAAGGTGGATAACAAAGTGCTTACAGGATGAAGGACATAGCAAGATTGTTCCTGCTCCTGCGACACCACACTCACCTTCTCCTCCAAAATAGGTTCACAATTGGAGTAATTGCTCTTCAACGCCCACGTCCCATTATCCATGCATTCCCTGTAAGCACTCCCTGCAAGAAAAAGAGTTGACAGGCAGAGATGAGGCATGGTTGAGAAAACAATGAAATTGTAGTATTGTTGCAAACATTGTTGATGATTTCAAATACTTGTAGAACTCAATTTGTTGAGTTTGTTTGTTCAATTCTTTCATCTGTATTCATCATCACCAGACACCGCATTCAGCAGAGTCGGTGCTGGTGCAGGCCAGCTGTTGGCAAGGTTATAGTGAAGTGTTTGCCAAGTAGGTAAGCTAAAATATCCCTGTAATTTCTTTAAAGCTCAGTTCAAACTTGAGCACTACTATCTCTGTGAGTCTCAGGCGGAATACCAATTCAGCAATACACATTTTTATTCATGGTGGGGAAATGCAAAGCCTCTTATTCTGTCAGTTTATTTGCATATCTTTAAAAACCTGCTTTCCACAATCAAATTTGAATTGCATTTTTCATTTTGCTGTTGCTCACCGCACATTCAGAGGGCCCCTTTATCTCTTTAACACAGAAAAATGTATAGAGAAAAACACAGCAGCAATATATGTGTGTGAAGTTTAAATTCTTCTATTCTGTCATGGCCAACCACAACCACTGCGCTGTCAAGATACACATAATTTATTATTTAGATTTCTTATTATTGTGCACAAACACTCACATTGATTACGCTGCTGTCAGAAGCTAGTACTGTCTGATTTATACTGTTTTCAAAAATAATAGAGTCACTATACCTTTTGTTGTTATTCTACTAGGTAATATTTCATCCAG